GCGAGGCAACAGTGCTACCAACTGTGCCACCCTGCAGCCCGCCCATGTGTATAGCTTTAGCAATTTTTTAAATTTTTCTGTTGTTAATTGCTGGTATTCAGCCAGTTATTCTAAAACACTGAAGTACATATTCAGAAAAGCTGAAATATCGCTCAAATTTTGGCATTTAAATCAAACTTCCTTAGAATTTCCCCCCAAATTTATACATTTCTTGGTGACTCTTTTTTTTATTTGCAAAATAAATTAAGCAAATGCACTGTGTGTTGGGTTGGTTGGACCATTATTTAGCATTCATAGAGCTGTACTGAACAATGCCATTTTCACTACAGTGCTAAAATGCATAGCAGGTGGATTGCATAATTCTGGAGACCTATGCAGGGTTTTTATAACAAACCTGGTAGCTGCATCTGCATGCTGGTATTTTGCCAAGAGAACTGTGTTTTTTCCTCTGATTTCGATTTGGGAAATAGAAGAGTAAAAGTGTTACTACACAGGTCTGGAAACAGAACGATCAAGAAAGCGTTTGTTTCTCCAGGCAGTGGCCAGCATTAATTGGCTGTCCCCACAAAGGTCAGCACAGCTTGGATCAAATTTGAACAAAGTCCAACTTTCGGGGGAGTCAGCGCGCAGGATGTCCAATTATTAGGAGGCACTTTTCAAAGGTAATGTGGACATGTCATTAGGTGGGTGAAACAAATTTTTACATTTAAATAGTCTGATAAAAAAAACAACTTTAAAGGGTTCTTTTAAATCATAATTGGACTGATGAAAAACAGGGAAATGATGAACATATACAGGAGTGTTGAACAGCTTTAGGCATTAACAGTAAAGTCAGGATGCTTTTAAAAGTAATGGGTTTTTGGGGGTTTTATCCTCTGAACTTTAAACAAGGTTCAATTAAGAGAAAAAAGAAGAAAAAAAACCCTAAATGAAATCAATATTTGGTGTGAGCAACCTTTGCCTTTAGATCAGCACCAGTTCTCCTCAGTTTTTCCAAACACTTGGCAGGTAGCTTGTTCAATATCTTGCCGCAGTTTTTCGTGTGGATTGAGGATGTCTCACCATCTCCTGCTGTTTCTTATATTTTCAGACAAACTCCAAGATGCTAAGATCAGGGCACTGTAGTGGCTGGACCATCTGTTGTAGGCATGAATCACCGTCTAACCAGTCACAACTTTAATCTTGCAGCTTCCTGCCTTTAAAAAGTAAGTGGAGCTGCTGCTGAACATATAAAATTGAATAACACACCAGAGCATAGCACAACACTTACTTTAAATAGTCCAAATAATAAACCATCAGTGAAAAGAGAGACACAATGCCCAGTAGTGAAGGTGAAGCAGCAGCTCTGCGTCTATACAGGATTTACTCAGGATTTTAAATTGCCTGGTAGCTTTGATCCTGTAAATCTAGCTTTTTCTTATTTTGCTGAATCTCCGTGTCCTCTCAGATCAGCTTTGACCTGTGAGGCGAAGGAGATAAAAAATAAGAAATCTCTGCACATGGACATGATGGATGTCTACAGTATCGGAATCATGATGCATCATTAATAACACATTAAATAAAACAGCACAAAGTAAGTTAACCTGAGGTTTTGGTGAGTCAGCAGCAGCTGAGCTTGTTGCAGGCGTAAACACCCTCAGTCATGTGGATTGTGGCGCCGTAATGTCATTTCTATGGACGTTTCAAATTTAGAAAATGCACTACATCTGTCAGTGTGACTTTTTTTAAAGGACATTTCTGTATTTTGTCTTAAAAAGAAACTTGTGAGAAAGAATCAGTGCATGTACAGATGTGCAATGAAGTAAACACTCCAAATGTGTAGACAGGACAAATAATACAAAAAAAAAAAAGAAATAAAATGAAATGACTAAGGTTTCAAATTTCTAATGAAAGCATTTGTCAGTGTGAACGATTAGCTGATGATTTTCCTAAACTATGTGAAGAATTCAGGAAATGTAAAAAGCTATAATTGAAAAAGTCTAAATCTATCCTTTGGGATGATGCACAGGGAAAGTACAAACAACAACCAAACACACAACAGTAAGAATGAAGGTCAATCAGTGTTCTTAAGCTGCTTTGGCTGTCTAAGTGTTTACTAACGGTTTCGGGTTAACAACGTCTGAACACTCCAGCAGTGCAATCATGGATTCTATATGAGCAGACAAATGAAAAAGCAGAGCGTAAAGCATCCCGATGGCAGGGTCTGAAAGGATGACACTTCTCTCTCAGGTCAGATCCAGGCTAATCTGCTCTGCTCTCAGTTGGAGTCTGAATGTGAGGGATACAAGCTGCCAAAGTGGAGCATGAGCAGCTTTGAAGATGGCGAGAAGAAGAGTCCCTGCTGCTCCTACAAAATCTCACAATTCCTCTTGGGAGCACAATGCATCCATTGTGCTCCCGCTCGTGACCTCGGGCTTGAACTAAACAGTGAGTTCAACATACACATCATTTCTTTTTGCTATATGNGAGGTGGATGGATGGATCACCAAAACACTGGAAATCAGCACAAGCAAATTTAGTTTAATTTCCACTTCAGTGTTTCTCTTCTAATCTTAGTGCAACTTCATTAAGTTAACAATGACAGCAATGGTCCTCCAAACACATCCCAAAATGTAATCTTTTCCTAAACACGTTGCTATTTTCGTTGTCACATCATAGAGTGGCTCTTCATTGTGACTTATAAGGGTCTGTCTGTGCCAGATCTACTGCCATTAGTGTGTTTCCTTGGATCATTGTAGAGAGTAGGAAAGCAATTAACATTTCAGGATTTATGGTAATCAATTGTTGATGTCAGATGACTAAATCAAACAAAGAAATCAGACGAGGCAGGAAGCACAGCGAGAGAATCAGTTTGCAAACAAAACCCACAGGTTCGAAAGAGACTGACAGTGGACTGTACAGCAGCAAAGCAAACTGTCTGCTGTAAACATCCATCACAGTTTGAAGATCCACTTCTTGCCTCAAGCTTTGACCCACAGTTTTCCTCTGACATAAAGGAATGGTTTTAAGGTGCATTTACTGGGATCGATGTTTACATTAGAAAATATGTCTATTGCTTCAAAAATTAAAACCCAAGTTGTAATAAATCATTGACACTTAAGAGACCATCTGTACAGATGTTTCTTCTAGATTTCAGTGAGATCAGTCTGGTGTTAGATAAGAATGCTCTAGTCATATTGCCTTCAGCTTATTAAGACCTCCAAAATTCAACTGTTCCTCTTTTCTGTTGATTTGGAAAAGGTTATGTATGACTCACTCCTTTACGCTCGGATTGTCGCGTGGCGCCAACCCCTGACAGAGGTGCAGCCTTTTGGACCACGACTAGGTGACAGAAATAGAAAGCTACCTACAAGGACTTCCTAACAGCCGCAGGATTGTTTTTTATGCTGGAAGTCTTTCAGGGTCATCAAAGTTTACACCCAACGTGCTAAGACTTTTTGAGCCTTTATAAGCTTGAATGCAGCCACGGATCCTTAGAGAATACTTGTCTAGCAGAGTCACAAGCCTGACAGAAAACCAAAGGTGAATTAATCAGCTCAGCGCCGCCTTTGGAGTCAGTCATCCTTTAAAATCCTACATTTAAACAGATTTCTTTTCTGTCATTTGTTCCCAAATATAATCTGTTTTGTTCTAACTGTTACGGCTTTAATCCTCTCTTTGATCTATGCTGATACAATGAACTGACTAATAAACTGACAACAATTTTAATAACTGAATAATCTTTTTTTTAGGGCATTTGTCATGCAAAACTGCCAAACATTTGGACTTTTTTGTTTTGCATCACCATAAACTAAATATTAATAGGTTTTGTGCTGTTAAGGCCAACTCACAGCTTCCAACGTCACACTTTTTACAGGATGCAGCAGCTCGCTAGTTGTGGATGGACATAGAAGAGGATTTGTGAAGAACTTGTGGACCATTGGTGGAAAACATATAAATCAAAGCAGCGACTACTTCAATTACAAACGTAGAGAATATCCTCATGTGGCAGTCTCGTCTCATAACAAGCACATATTTAAACCCCATTTGTCTTCCAGGCACATGGGATTCTTGTGGACTTGAGCAAATGACTGAATTCATGTCAAACAGAAAGCATGAATCAGCCTTTATTTAGACAAAACAAGCAATCTGAATTTANAAAAAAAAATGTCCAGTTTACGATGAAACAAACCAGAAAATTGCAGCAAATCCTCATATTGGGGAAATCTGAGAAGGTTCCTTTATAATGTACTAATTCTTACAAATGATAGCCTGAAAAGCTGTCAGTTTATCAAGTAACCTTTAAGTTTGTGCTGAATATGTGAAAACCATTTACATCTAAAATACATGGATTCCTTCTGGGACTATCACAGGCCTGCACATCCAATTAGAACTCTTCACTGGTCCACTTGTTCCTGTGGATGTGAGTCTGGCAGCTTCCAAATGACTAAATCTATTTAGGCTCCTGTGGTATTGTCACAAGTCTCGGATGTGACCTGTAATAACACTGCAAGGGAACAATGTATTTATTTGAGATGGAAACGGTGAACCCAAGTAGGAGATGTATGAAATGTTTCTACTGTACATTTTTAAGATTCCAGCTGAGATCCTGTGGGA